GAAAAACGGAGCTGGAGGAATCAGGCTCCCTGACTTCAGACTATACTACAAAGCTACAGTAATCAAGACAGTATGGTACTGGCACAAAAACAGAAAGATCAGTGGAACAGGATAGAAAGTCCAGAGATAAACCCACGCATATATGGACACCTTATCTTTGATAAAGGAGGCTTGCCACAACTAGAGAGAGCCCTCGCACAGAAACAAAGACCCAACCCAGCCAAAAATAAATATAAATAAATAAATAAATTTTGGGGAAAAAAAAGACATTTGTAAAAACTTTACCACAAAGAAAATTCTAGGCCCAAATGTCTTCACTAGGAAATGCTACCAAATATTTGAGGATTCATGATACCACTACTTCCCGCTTCCTATATAAGGCCAGCATTACTCTGATACTAAAAACAGACAAAGACAAAACAAGAAAACAACAGACCACTATCTCTCATGAACTTTAGCAAAACAAACCCAACAATAAATATAAAAGATAACAAATCATGACCAAGTGGGATCCATCTCCAGAATGAAAGGTTGTTTAATATTTGAAAGTCAATCAATGCAAATCATCATGTCAACAGACTAGTCAGTTCAAGACAGCAGGACAAAGATATAAAAGGCATCCAGATTAAAAAGGACAAAGTAAGACTGTCTTTATTCCTAAAATATTACTGCCTGTACAGAATATCCTATGTTCTATAACAATGCTATTCGAACTACAAGACGCATTTAGTAAGGTTTCAAGATAGAACATACAAAAATCAACTATATTTCTATATAATACAACTAAAAATATAAAAAACAATACCACATGAGAAATATGAAACAATGGGATAAATCTGACATAAAGCATACAAGACCTATATACTGAAAACCACCAAACATACTGAAACCTAATTAACTAAATAGATATATATCATGTTCATGGATCAGAAGACTAAATATTGTGAACTCACCCTTAACTTATCTATAGATTCAACATTATACAAATCAAAAACCCAGATTTGTTTTCTAATTGACAAGCTGATTCTAAAATATGCAATGAAATGCAAAATATGTACAATTGTCAAAATAATTTTGAAAAAGAATGAAGTTAGAAGTCCCACATTACCCTGATTTCCAGACAGTGCAGTACTGACATAAATATAGACAAATCAATGGAACAAAGTTCAGAGATAAATCCACATATATATGGCCGACTGATTTTTGAAAAGAAGGTGCAAAGGCAATTCAATGAGGAAAATACAATCTTTTCACCAATGTGGCAGAACAACTCCATGACTGTTTGCCAAAAACAAAAATGAAGCTAAAACCCTGCTTCTTATCTCACACCATATACAAAAATTAACTTGAAGTAGATAACAGATCTAAGTATAAAATTAAACTACAGAACTTCTAAAGCAAGCAAGGAGAAAATTTTTCTGACCTTAGGTTAGGAAAAAATGTCTTAATATGATATCAAAAGCACAGTACATAAAAGAAAGCCTTGATAAACTGGCCTTAATCCAAGAACTTTTTCTCTTTGAAAGATACTATTAAGAGACTGAAAAGAGGAAATGGCAGAAAACATTAGCAAACTACAGATCTGATAACGGACTTATATCCATAATATATAAAGAACTATCAAAACTCAGTAATATGAAAAACAAACAACCCAGCTGAAAAATGGGCAAAAGTTTAAGCAGTCCCTTCACCAAAGATGACACACAGATGGCAAATAAACACACAAGAAGATGCTCAATACAGTCATAACGGAAATGCAAATCAAATCCACAATGGGGTACCACCATATACCACTAGAATGTCTAAAATTTAAAAAACTAACCATACCAAACGTTGATGAGAATGTGGAGCAACTGGAACTCTCTTATACTGCTAGTGGGAATATAAAAGAGTACAACCACTTTGGAAAACAGTTTGGTAATTTATTAAAAAATTAAGCATACACCTAGTATGTGACCAGGGATTCCACTCGTAAGTACTTACCCCAGGTAAATTAAAACATCAGTCCACACAGAGACCTGGACATGAATGTTCTTAGCAGCTTTATTTGCAAGAACCCCAAACCAGAAGGAACGCATAAACAAGTGAATTGATAAACTGTGGGATATCTGTACAATGGAATGCTGCTATTCAGGAATAAAAATGAAAAAACTATTGGTACATGCAGCAACGTGGACAAATCTCAAAGCAAGCATACTGAATAAAAATAAGCTAGACAAAGGAAGCAGACACTTTATGATTCTATTCATACAAAATTCTAGAAAATCCAAAACAATCTGTAGCAGCAGAAAGCATACCAGTGTTTGACTGAGGATACAGTGAAAGAAAGAGATTAGGAAGATACATGAGAAAACTTTAGGTAGGACAGATATATTCATTATCTTATTATAATGATATTACAGGTGTATACTGGGTCAAAATGTACCAAACTGTACACTTTAAATATGGGCAGTTCTTATATCTCGATAAAACTGATAAAAACAAATAAGGAAAAATGCTACCTTCATTAGAATATGTAATACTTTAAATATGTATTTTCCCTAATTATATGAAAAACATAATTCCAATCAAAATCCAAACAGGATTTCTTTGTGTAATTTAAGGATGCTTTTATTCAAGTGAATATGGCAAACTGTAATAAGTCAAGAAAATTCTGAAACATAGGCCTAAGAGATATTAATGAATAACAGAAATCCAATAATTAAAATAGTTTTGTACTGGCCAATACTTTGATCAATGGCACAAATACCAGTTCAGAAATGACACTTGAGTACAAAAAATGTTTTAAATGATGGAGGCAGTGTCTTAAGCCCATGGGAGAGATTACTCATTAAGTGTTGGTGAGATTACTGACCAACCTTCAGGTGGAAGGGTGGAGTAATGGGATCACCTATTCGCTACCCTAAAGTTTCTCCCCTATCCCCAATTTTTTCACATAGTTCCATTCTTTACCTTCATAGCGCTTAACACAATATGCAGTTCTTTACTGTCTCCCACTCTGGAAGTGCTCTGTTTACCATTTTAGATCTAGTATCTGCCACACAGCCAGTATTTAATAAGTATTATATTGAATGAATTCGTGAAGGAATGCATGATGGAATAAAGAACTGCATGAATGGAAGGGGAAAAAAAAATGAAATCTTAAAAGTACCTGACAAAAAAACAAGTGAATGCTCATATAAAATCTCTGGGACTTTCTAAAACACATTAAAGACAGAAAACCAAAATGAAGAGACAGACTTGATGGAATAAAAATTTAAAGTTTCTGAATGAGAAAAATGTCACAATACAATCAGAAGGCAAACTGGGAAAATATATTTAGCACATGTAAACAGAGAAATTAATATCCTCAGTATATAATGAGCATTTATAAGTCAGTAAGAAAAAGATGAACCACAAAGGAAAAAAAACATTAAGTGACAATTCATAAAAAGTATTATAACAACCAATATAAGGATGAAGATAATAATTGATAATTATTGATAACTGATAATTCTTACAATAAATAAAAATCAAAACAATAAGATATCTTTTCAACTAGAAAACTAGTAAAGGCATTTTAAAAATAAGATTTAATATGATAAGCTTGGTAAGAAGACTGAGAAGTGGGCTTCCAATACACTACTGGCAGGAGAGTGAAATGACAACTAGGAGCGTAAAATCGTTTACTCCTCCTGGGAGGCATCTTGGTAATAAATAGTAAAAGTCTTAAAATTATATATTCTCTTTTATTCAGCATTTCAATTTCTAAGAGCTTAAGGAAAAAAACCCTGTCTAAACGAGCAAACAAAAGCTTCAAAAATGTTCATATCACAAGGTAAAACAGAAAGAGTGGCAACCATGTAGGCTATAATATTGGGTTGGCCAAAAAGTTCGTTTGGGTTTTTCCGTAAGATCTTATGGAACTTTTTGGCCAACCCAAGAGGAAAGAAAACAAACAAGCAAACAAACCAAAAAAACCGCTTAAATGATTAGTAATGTACCCACAATGGAACATCAAGTATCTAGGAAACATACCCTAAAATATTAATGGGCAAAGGGACATGACATATGCAACTTAATTCTCAAATGGTTCAAAAGGTTTCTGAAAATAGTAATCTCTTTCTCTCTGTATACACACATGCACACACCAAAAATACCTACACATTAAAAGGGAATGTGACAAAACAAATATGGCAGAATGTTAACAACTAACACATTGTGCTACTATGCAACTTCTTGCTAAGTTTGAAATTATTTCAAAGTAAGTTAAAAAGTAAAAGTTTACAGAGAAAAAAGTCCCATCACTCTTCATTGTCTCATTCCTCTCTACAGTAATACTCTTTTCAAACTGAAAAAAATGCTGAAGTATCTTTAAAGATCTAGGATATTTTTCACTCTACAGAGTGAAAATCATGATGTATATACACATCATTATGCAAAGAGTGATTTCAATCTTTTTAATACATCAATAACAAAATCATCACCATAGGGTGGGATGTTGATGATTTTATTTTAATCTTTTCATTAACTGTATTTCCTAAATGTTAATAGGGGTGCATGGATGATATATGCTATTTTTTTAAACAGTGTTACAGGAAAAAAAGGGTACCTCATTTACTAATAATTAGTTTATATCATTTTCCTTAATTCTGACATATGCAATATGACATGAGAGATAATGCTTAAGAGTTTGGGCTCCAGAGTCAGAAAAACCTGGAAGTGAATTCTAGTTTTAAACTTAACAGCTGCATAACACAACTCTATCTACCCTACCACTTGCTCTGCGGTTTTACACAGACCTGGTTGCTCTTCAAGAAGTTCTAGGTAAGCAAAATGACATCACTAAGTGGATTTTACCCTTTCCTATGGACAATGAAATATGATCATGAAAAGCAAAAATAAAAGGAAACTACTCACCCTCTTGTCCCCAACACAAAGAATATTATAAAGATAAAAGGGCCACTAACTACAGTTTAGAAATAAGATTAAGTATAATTATTATGTTGGGATACACTTACCCATCTAAAATTAGACTTTCATAGGCAGCTTTTTTGTCACACACAGGACAAATCCAGGTGGGCTTCTTCTCATTCATTTGCAGATAAAGGGCAGCATCAAAGCACTGTAGATGTGTACAAGTCACTGCACGGCATGGGATTGTCAGCCTCATTTTTCCTAACTATAGGACAGGGAAGACAACATGGGAAATCATTTCAGAAAAGAGAACAAAGCCTCAAAAGTCATAAAAATGTGAAGAAGTCATACGAGACTAACAAAATGAAAAAGAAACGAAACTAAAACCAGTATTTATTTCCATCAAGATTGCTATATATTTTATTTGTATTCACTGAAGGACGTATAATTTTTAAAAGACCATCTCATTTTCTGAAAGTAGGTAAAACTTGTAAATTCACAGGTAGGAAAAGATATATATACAATGAAAACATGTCTCTTTCTCATCTCTTCCCCTATTTAGAGAGAACCACTGTTATCCATCTCTTGCATGTCCTTTCACAGATGTTCTATGCATAATCAAATGTGTATTTTAAAAAACATATCCCCAGATACGGTGGTGTGCAATTCACACAATTCTGTACTTACATTTAAACTGTCTCCAATCTCATCACAACAAATAATACTGCAATAAATAGCTATGGGATAAATTCCTAAAAGTAAACTTTTTGAGTCAAAGAAAAAGTGTATGATTTTTGTCACAATGACAAACTATCTTCCACAGAGGTCACCTACTGATTTACACATATACATGTATTAATGTGCTTGGTTCCCCTCGACCTTGTCAATATAGCACTATTGAATCCTTTGACCGCTGCCAATCTGATAGGTGAAAAGTACCCCATTGTAGTTTTGGAATACACTTCTCTTATTATAAGTGAAGTTGAACTGCTGCTGCTGCTTTTTTTTCCTTTTTTTTTTTTTTTACTTCTAAGGGTCATTTGTGTTTCCAAGAACTGTCTATTAATAACCTTTTCTCATTTTCCACTTGGTTATTTATCTTTGGTTACCTATATTAATCAGCCTCATGTATGTGATATGAATTGCAAATACATTTTTATATACTTTTTTTCACTTTTGTATAAGCGCATATGTTGATGTTTCAATATACTCTTATAACCTAGTACTCTGTTCAATTCTTATTCCAGTTGGTAGAGGAATACCAACATCAAGACATATACAGCATCCAGATTAGATCAGATCAAGTTTTTCTGTAGAGCCTTTTGAATCTCCCTGTATACTCCCTTTATAGAAAAGATCTCAGTTTATAACCAGCTCTCTTGTTCTGATAGAAAATCTGTTTCTCCGACTACACTCTAAGCCCCACAAGGTCTATGTCACTGTTTACCAGTGTAATCCAAGTGTCACAACACAGTACCAAGCACGCAGCCTATGCTCAGTATTTGTCAGAAAGATGGTAGAATGAATGGAGAAAGTGGGTAAGGGTCAAAGAGAAAGAAAAGGAAGAAGGAAAGACTTCTTTATTTGCACTATAAAGTCTAGAAGAAGTCACAGCTAAACTATAACACTGTTAACTCTGCCTGAGGGGTAGGATTTTTAGAATTTTCCTTTTTTTTTTTTCTTTTGGTTTATCTGTAATTTCTTTCTGCTAAAATGAACATTTGGTTATTTTATAATTTAAAAAGAAAATAATTATCCAACTCATCATTATAGCAGTAACTAATGCTTATATAGTTGTACCTACATGTTAAGGTATCATGTTGAATACTTTACATTAATCTTCGTGACACTTTACATTTTAACCTAACAACTACACTATACAGTTGGTATATATTATCATCCCCATTTTATAATGAGGAAATAGGCAAAAAGAAGCTAACTAAATTGACTAACATTACAAAGTTAGAAAGTGGCAGAGTCAATATTTGAATACAGATGCTCTAACTCCAGAGTCCATACTACCTCTAAGTGTCTAGGATTCTAAAAGAGATTTTGGAAGTTACAGTGATTCATGCAAGTATGCAGCACAATTTAACTATTTAAGATGGAAAAGAAGTGAGAAAAGAATGTGAGGCAATTTCTCTTCTAAGATATTTCCCTCTATATTTTCCCTTCCTTTAATAACAAATTATCCCTTAAGTAATGTAGAACCTTACAGCATGCTAAAGACGTTTATGTAAATTTCATACAATTCTCATAACAACCCCATGACTCCAAAAGGACTAGTATCTATATATCTACTTCTGAAATGAAGATGCTGAGGCTACAAGAGGCTAAAAACAATACAATCACTAAGATGCAGTTGCTAGAGCTATAACACAAATCCAAATATTTTTCAATTTCATAAAGACGTTCCTAGTTTTACATTATACATGGTGGTAGTTTTTGGTTTTACTTATCTACCATTTCCTACTTTGCTAAGAGTTTTTGTTCTATAGGAATGGATGTTGACTAAATATCTATTTAGCACCTAATGAGATGATCAGAGAATTTTTTTTTTCAATTATTATTATAGATAATTTCAACAGATTTTCTGATATAAAACTATACTTGCATTCCTAAGAGGCATCCCTTTGTTATCACATATTATCCTTGAAAAAGAGTACTGGATTCTACTGGCTAGTGTTTTATTTAGGAATTTTCCATCATTGTTTTTTTACATAATCCATGTTTGTAAACAACCCAAATAATCACTAAAAACAGGTGAAAAAAATAAGCTGTACCATACCAATTCAACAAAATACCTAGAGTGGTTAAAATTAGATCTAGACATATTAATATATTTAAGATATACCATTAATTTAAAGACAGTAAACCACTGAACAGTATATATAGCACAATACAGGTTTTTCCAATAAACATACATATGATTATAAACAGAGTTAAATCTAGAAAGAAAGATATCATATTATTTAAAATGTTACTTCTGAATAGGTTTTAGTAATTTAAAATTTTCTCTTTTGTTTATTTGAACAACTGTATAATAAAGTAGGCATTATTTGTCAATTTTTTGGATTTGTTTCTTTAAAATAATGTTCTATCTAACTCAACCTACTACGGTTTTTTTAGGCAACCAGATCTCAAACTTTTGGCTTTAGAATCCCTTTACACTCTTCAAAATTGAGAACCTCCAAGAGCTTATATGTATGTAAGTTGTATTTACCAATATTTATTGTATTAGAAATGAAGAGACATTTTTAAAACACAAGAATACACAAGTACACATTCCATCAGCCATCAGAGTAATGACATCAGCCCCTGTTAGGTAACCCCTATCAAATATCACTGTCTACTCATGACAGAATGAGAGCAAGAAAGGGACAAACTGTGTCCTAGTATTATTATAAATAGTTTTGACTTTCTGGACCTCTTCAAAGAGTCTCAGGGATCCCCAGGTACCCTTGGGCCACAATTTGCAATCTGCTGCTTTTTTCTTTTTCTTCCTCTTCTATGACATTCTCATCTCTCCTGTAACTGCTTTAGAATTTCCACAGCATAAAGAAACAAAAACATTCAGGACTACAAAAGTTGCTGATCCTAAATTTAATGCTACTCTAGTGTCTTACAAGAGCTAATGAACATTTCCCAAGTTAAAAAAGCATTTATTACTAACTGGCAAAATCTGACCGATTTCCTAATACTGATTATGTAATGTTAATAAAAAAAGATTTGAATATGCTGAATTCTATTTAGTCAGATGATGGCACTGTTTTGAAATGTATTGATTTTATGAATAAAATGGTATCTAACACCGTAATGCAGCTTTTTTATTAATCAAATATTAAGCAGGTAGTATCCGAATTGATTTTTACTTCATTATAGACTAATTAGTATCTGTCTAAAGAAAGAGTAGGTATAAGCAAAAATGGCTCAAATCAGTGGTTTCAAACTATTTGTAGAAGCGGTACCTTTTTTTAAAAAATCTTGAGTCAGAATCAAACAAGACATAAAATCAAACCTGTTTTTCTTTTCTATCCTGGGGCACCCACCTAGCCTACCTCTGCAGGACAGTCCAAAATTCACTAGCTAATATCACTAAGATGGAACTCCTATGTAAAATTCAGATACTGTGTTCAAAAATTTAATTATACACACTCAATCAGATCCCTCTTTAACAGCTGTTGTAAAATTACCTTCCTTAGGTCCTAAGGACAGAGGTTTTGAACTGTGCTCTCACTATCCAGATTCATGTCTACTTCAAATCACTTTACAAACCATACTGTGAAATAGAACATTTCTTCCACAACCTTAAGCTATCATTTTCTCTCATTTTTGCCTAATTAACCCATGGTTCACCACTTATCCTTCCAAACGCCTATGATCCTTTTTTTCTTCACCATTTCCCATCACCACCCCAGATCCTGTGTTATTTCCACAGTCAGCTGGATACACTCCCTCCATTCTGCTATCTTCAACTGATACTAGTATTATCTCTGCCTCTAAAACTACTTTCATCATCTAACTTCTGTCATCTCTGTTAAATTTGATCAAAACACCTGTTTGGTTTTCTGATAACATAGATCACATCCTATAGTTAGCAACCCAATGTTAGGTTAACACTAGTATAGTCTGAAGAGTACCATTCACTCTTTTCTTAGAAAGTGCTCTGAAAAAATCAGGTAGGATGAATACTGAGGAAAGCTCAAAAGATAGTCTCAGAAACAGATCTGTTTTCACTTGTAAGCAGAGAAAGAAAACATTTAATGAACTTAAAACAGAATTTTGTTACTTCATTTCTTCAAATCATTGAAATGTTAGTTTTCTTAAAACTGTCAGTTTTATTAAAATTGACACATGTGAAAGGAACTATTCCCTATTCTTATATAGAAGAAATCCTGACGATGCCAATATACCACTTTCACTATTTTGAATGTCCAAGAATCCAATAGTTTGGTTATTGTTTTGTTTTGGTTGTTGTCATGTAGAACAGCACAGTGTTTGAAGGAAAAAATGGAAAAAAAAATTAAAAACCAGTTCCAAGACAGTAAGACTTACAGAAAATGGAACTGTGCAAACTGTACAACTCCTTAGGTAAATTGTGTAGAAGCGCTTTCTTCCTGATAGAATAGTCTGACATACTAAAACAAAAAGGTGACGTGAGTTCCCTTCCCAAATAGTGGTTGTGCTTAGAATATAGCCGGCAATGAACATTTGCTGAATATACTAGAGTTAAATCATAAGAAACTTCCAATATCCAAATTGTTTTTGATGAACAAAATGGCAATTTCATGTGTTCCAATTTAATATCAATCTTAACATGAGAAGGAGGAAAAGGTACTGTGAAGAAATGAACTCAAATGAACTCATGCCCAGCTTGTGAGTACAGGAGGTCCCAAGCCCCTCTAGGGCCCCTGCCACCACCTCAGGGCATTAATGTCCTCCTGCAGACCGTCTCTGTGTTTCATAAACACACGTTTCCGATTTCGAAGCAATCCCAATTTCATGTTAAGTCTATCCCTTTCCAATAAAGGTAAGTTAAAGTTAATGATAATAGATAATAAAGCTTTAGAAAGAAAGATATCTGCTTTCCCAAATAGAGAGGTAGACTTATAATCAGGATATTTATATTTTTGGTCCAATGTGGCAATATGGTACACTGTCTTATAAGAGAACTGGAATAATGTCAGAAGACCAAAATTTAAATCCTTGTTCTACTACAAACTAACTGTGTGATTTGGGTTAGCCAACCCCTTTCAGTCTCAGGTTCCTCATCTGAAAATGGGAACAATTCCATACAGGCTTGCTAATTAGACAATATAAGGAGCACATAATAGGAACTTAACAAATTATTCCCTTCTCTGACACAATTCTCTTTCCATTTAAAAAACTGTATGTTTCTCACAATGGTAGCTGGTCACCAAATGCCTCCCCCCGGCAACTATATTATAAATTCCTAATTCCATACTTTTCTCATAAAGTTCCTCTCATCTGCAAAGGGTCCCCTCCAAGAGTAGTGATTTTAAAGAAGCCTTCATCCACTATTCCTGACCTCGCCTATCAATTAGCATTTATTAGGTCCTAATAACTTTACTGTTATTTTTCAATACCGTTTATATTGATAAAAGGAGCCAACTCTCTAGATATGTTCAGTATTAGCTGTGGATTATCGATAATTAACTGTGACAGATTATTCTGAACCTAAAACTCTCTTTCCTCTTTGATGCAATATCCCTTTACATCTCTTCTTGCTTAGTCATTGCCTGAAGAATGTTTGCATTCTTTGGAATTATAATGCTTAACCATGAAGATCCCCGAATGGGAAAACGAAAAAAGTTCAAAATTCCATAATATACCATTCATTCACATACTTACTTTTATAGGAAAATTAGTAATTTATAAAAAGTAAGATGCCCCAGAATGTTTTGTTGCTTTACTTACAGGGCACATCAAGGACACCCGAAGGCTAGTGGTAGCAATTTCACTATCAGGATCCGCAGTAAGTTTTTCTTTAACTTTAGGAGGGAAAATCAATAATAAAAACACAGTTTAAAAAATTAATTGTGACATATGAATAGAATTATAGAAATATATATATCATCTTATATAAAGTTTGCCAAACACTTCAAACAGATCAAGAAACTACAAAAACAAAACAAAACAAACAAAATGTTAAGTATTAATGTACTAAAAACACAACCATACTTCCAGTATTAGGTTAAAGAATTACAAACTCTAGATGACATGTTTAATTGAATTTTTAAATTTTCTTTTTAAAAGTAAAATTGCAGGTGAGGAAGAGTTTCAAAGCAGAAAGCTGTTTAAGACTTAAGAACAATACAACAATTAGGAAAGGAACTTGGAAGGCAGCTATCCTCTGAGCTTCAACGCTTTTCTAAAACACATTCATGACTGTTTTAATTTGGGAGTACTGGTAATTTCCAACAATTGTTAAATTTGTAAACAGAAAAGGTAAAATATTCTTATACTTCCTTTAACTATTGAAAACTACTATGGATGTGGGAATGTCTGTGATCTTAATCATCATGTAATGTATACAAGTTATTGTCTATCTATACAAGCTAATGAAGACATACACCACCTTCAGATGCCTAATTCTCAACACCACAATAGCGAGAACAGGACTGTAAGTAGAGACAGTGGAACCTGAGTGGGGTAAAAAAAAACTACGGAAGAGCTTCCATGGCTTTCAGCTCTAGGCAGGAAGATCAATACTGTACTGTCTGAAATGAGAAATGGCTTGAGTATAAGAAACAAAATACCATTTCAACAGCCCTACTTGGTTCCCTTTTCAACCTATAGATCCTCTTCTCCTTTCTGGTTCATTCAGTGATATGAACTGGGAGAAAAATATTCTCTTTCTCCCCAAAAAAATGTCCTGTTCAATTAACTTCAATTACTGAACTGAATTATTTACAGTTTGGGTTATTATTTACAGTTTGGGTTAACAGTTTGGGTTGACTTTTTTTTCTCTACCTATTATTATACAGTATGAAAGCAAAGTACAAAATAAAACATCTCAGAAGGCAAATATTATTGTTGATGGATATCAACATTTCTTTTGCAAAAAGACCTTTTTTAGTTAGAAGTTTTTAAATGTACATCACACTACACACCGCAGGTTTTGAAGACTTGCATTCCTAATCTCAAGTCAACGTAGGCATCAAAACTGCCATCAACCTGACATTTACCTAAATAACTTATGAAAAGGTGAAAAATCAGATTAGCTGAGATTTAAAATTAATCCTCTTGGGAGTGGTTTCTGAGAGAAGGGCTTTTCAATTCATAGGGCTCCATTCTTAGAGTATTTTTAATTCACAATTCATTTTAGGTTTCTAATAATTGTTCCCAAATTGTTCCTGTATGGAGATATATGTGAAGCTTTTTAAATTTCCATTTAAAGCATCTCATATGCTCAGTCTTACAAACATTACTTACTTAGTGCTCTGGAATGATCAGGGTTTCTAATACCTTTCATTTTTAATCTCTGTAATAACATGGCTGATGTGAGCTGTCGTACAAGATATACAGACATGGAGTAATTCTACAAAGAAAGATAATCTGTATTAAAGATGAGAGATAATAGTCTACTTACATAAAACACTTGTCTAAGAAGCTCTGGTTTCTAAAAATAACATTCAAAATAACTTCCACAGGACAGTCAATGACTGGGAAGGGAACAAAATCAACTCAGCTACTTTAGGGAAGATGAACACTTCATCATCTCAGTGATTGAGATATTTCTCAATCACTTATAACTTTAAAACATCTATGTGAAAGATAAAATGGCTCAGATCAGTGGTTTTCAAACTGTGTTTCTAACTTAGCAAAACTGGTGCTTTAGGGGCCACCATGGTATAAATGAAAATGCACTCTCCCACGCCCACTTCTAACTAGAATTTTCTGTTTTTATGTAATGGGGCTCTCATAATATATTCATTGAAAAATGAGATCCACTGCAGAAACAAAGTTCAAACACCTGTGGTCTAAATTAACACTTCACATACAGAGTTCCACAGTTCTAATTCTGGCAGACACTTGCTACATGGCCTTAGGCAAATCACTCGTATGAACCCAAAATCAGCTTTCTTTTGAGAAAAAAATTTGACAATTAATTCCTGTTCCCAAACGGGCATTTTACTAGGGAAGGGGAAGCTACTACAGTATATAAGACACATGAAGAAACTATAAAAATCAAAAAGACAAGGCCAGAAAATAATAGCATCCAATCCCATATTCTCTTAGATCTGGCACAAAGGAACTTTCATTAGCTATTTATAAAGCTATGAAGAGATGATATACAATTTTACCTAAATGCTAAAAACCTACTTTACCATTTCATTACATTCATTCATTCAATCAATTCTACAATAAACAAAATACTTTTAATAGTTGCCAAACCAAATACTTTAAATATCATTTTTAATGTCCTGTAACAGTCCTTTCAAATATCTGAATACCCACTATAGTGTGCAAATTTAAGTCAATTAATCATTATAATTACAAGGAAAGAATATTATTCCCATTATATGGCAAAAAAAACCCCACACCTGTCAGGCCTTCAATGTCTGCAATCTTTTACTCAAAAAATCTGTAAGTTCATAATCATTTCAAAAAGATATACTACTCTTCTGTTCAAATTCCTCTCACTAAGCTTTAAAGCATTAATACTTGCTCAGTTAACAATGTCCCTTATATTTGCATATAACACCCATTCTCGAGATTTTATTTATTCTTTATAATAAGCAGGCCTCAGGGAATTAATCAATTTGGCCAAAATCAAACAATTTGCCAACTTGGGACTAAGCCAAGATTTCCCAAATCCTTATCCAGTGCTTTACCACTGTACATTCAGTTCACACAAATAAAAAATATTAGGGATCAGTGTCTTATGATAAAAAAGTTAGAGTAAAAATTCAGAAATGAGAGCTCAAGAGAACAATCATTAAAGAGATCCTAATGTCTGTACAGTCAATACAAAAATATTCTTTATATCCAGCTCTGCAATTACCTTGGTGATAAAACCAAATGATTCTGGCTACAAACATGACTCAACTTCTCCATCCACAAATAGGAATACTATCCTTTATTTCTATGAAACAGCAACATTAAAGCTGATGTTCAGAAGTTAACTGAAATCTCTTGCTATTCCATTATTTCAGTTATATAAACAAGCAGTTCTAAAATGGAAATCCCTTGTTGTATTAATCAGTATCTCATAATTGACAAAATGCATTTTGAGACTAAGCATCAGCAGAAACCCAGGTTCATCAACCTAAAAATACAGAGGAAATAATATAAATCTAAGTAAATATTTTCATATGGATGCCCACATGTTATTTGAAGTATCAGCTATTCATATAAAGGCTGGAACAGATTATTTCTAATCACAACATGAGTACATTTAACCAAATGTTAATCTTCTCCAAAGCCTGAGAAAGCTTTCTTTGTTCCTCTTCAAAAATTACCCCAAATTCCCAGTTTCTTAAAATACTACTTAAACACAATTGTGATTAACCATTAACTTAAGAAACACTGTAATGATACTTACTTCCTTTCTAAGAAAATAAAGAGATGATACTCAGGAAACCTTAAAGTTTCAACCTTGAAAATCTCTACATCTCTACCCTGAACTGAAAATTACTGCTTTTGGGGTTACAAACAGAAAACTGAATGAGCTGGAGCTAGTAGCCTAAGAAAAAAACAAAGTAAATCAACACCTAGTGGGAACACTTTCATGCTACCCAGAGAAAAGAATCTTTACCTTTCCAATTTCTGACGCCCAAGAAATGGAAATCTGGTTTGGCACAGCTGAGGATAATCTAACTAAAGATGTAATATTCAAAGGGCGTCCAGGGCGCTTCTGCTCAATCCCATTTTTAGGTGGTGGTGCATAGCCCTATAACCAAGAAAGAAAAATAATTTTAAATTCTCCGTAGAGAAGCAAACATTTTCTCCAAGACGAGTACAGTATCTTGCCTAATTTCAGTCACACTTAATTACTTTTATTTTATCCTGGAAATCACATAGTCCTCACCCTAAAGTCACCAATCCAAAAGAGGAAAATGACCTTTTAAAAATGTTACAAAATATTTCACAAATCCAGAAAAATACAACAAAAAATCCATGTTCCATTAAAATTAAAGATGCTGAGATCTTGCCATACTATGAATTTTTTTCCTTTTTATAAACAATAAAGTTGCACCTCTTTACACTGATTCATCTTAGGAGCTCTAATTCATTCAAATACTAGGGGCGAGAGAGGGAAAACGAACTCTGGAAATTTAAAAAAAAGCAAATCAGTGAATTTCAAAGGAATTATTAAAATCTTCTGAGTGATAAAAAAGCTCTCCACTGTCTTCTCTCCGAGTAGAACAGAGATTGCCATCTTTAAAACCAGGTCACGTTAACAAAAAAGAATAACCAATATTTCATATTTCAATTGGCATTGAATTAGCTTGACGGCTATAATAAAATCGCTACTTATATATTTTTCTATTTTTTCTAGTCATTAAGTATTTGTTTTAAATAGTAAACAGCCTCACTTTTGATTTCACAGTACATCCAATTCTCAATTACCACAGGACTTTTCAGTTTCTGATTTTCAAAACCAATACATTTTTTAGAAAATTAAAATTTCTTAGCTGCGAAAACATCTACATATTGAAAAGCACACACCATATTTCATTGAATCTAAGATGCCAATGATGCAATTTATGTACCACTGAGAAGAAAAAAACAGTAAGTTAATGATACAACCTAATGTACTTTTTTTTCCTGCATACATATCAAGAAAACATAAGCAAAATGAACTGGCTAACATATTCCTTTAGGATATACAGAAGAATCTCTTGAATCGTTTTCTCACTGTCATCAGTGCATGTTTTCCACATGATACTCTCCTATATGCCACCAAGAGCTCAAGATAAAAATACTTCTTAAGGGCTTCCCTGGTGGCGCAGTGGTTGAGAGTCCGCCTGCTGGTGCAGGGGACACGGGTTCCTGCCCCAGTCCGGGAAGATCCCACATGCCGCGGAGCGGCCGGGCCCATGAGCCATGGCCGCTGAGCCTGCGCGTCCGGAGCCTGTGCTCCGCAATGGGAGAGGCCACAGCAGTGAGAGGCCCACGTACCACACACACAAAAAAACTTCTTAAAATTATATTCTACTCCACAAATATCTCTCAGATTTCCTTGCAAGTCACTGACACCCTTAGACTAACTACAAGTGTTAATGCTGACACACCCTGGATATTAAGAGAACAAAAATTTCAAATAACAGCCAGGATTCACGAACCTTCCTCGAAATGTTCCCAAGTCATTTGTTGACTGAAAAACCGATAAAGGGCAGTTAACCAGTCATGCCATGGGAATAATAACATCAGGGTTGTACAAGTGCAGGCAACAACAATACATTACAGCTGCCACTTGATCATCAGAAACTGTTAAGACACCTCTAGATTTTAAAGATGTCAAAAATATGCACCTTGGTAACAATGAGATACAGTTTTGGTGCCATCACAAGGCAGAGCCCAGGAAAACAGTCTTTCACACTAGGGAACACCTTTCGCTGCCTTGTAGGAGGTAGGATAGTAATTTTTTTTTTTTTTTTTCAGTATGCGGGCCTCTCACTGTTGTGGCCTCTCCCATTGCAGAGCACAGGCTCTGGACGCGCAGGCTCAGCAGCCATGGCTCACGGGCCCAGCCGCTCTGCGGCATGTGGGATCTTCCTGGACCGGGGCACGAACCCGTGTCCCATGCATCGGCAGGCAGACTCTCAACCACTGCGCCACCAGGGAAGCCCTGATAGTAATTATTAAGTGTGAACTCCCATGATAATGTGTAATCTACAACATGCAACAAGACTTTGAAAATCATTGAGAACTGTCTGAGCAGAGGAATAGAAGACAAAGAGAAGAACGTAAATAACTTTCATTACACTATGGAAAAGGGAAATTGTGTGTGTGTGCGTGTGTGTGTGTGTGTGTGTGTGTGTGTGTAGAGGAGGATTATGCCCATCTAAAGTTGTTCAAGTGAAATAAAACAAAGAAGCAAACTCATAAGAAAGTCCTCTTATAAAGACTAGGAAATTGGTTCAATGAGCAACACACACAAGAAATATCAACACCAATATCTGGGTAATTGTGAATGAAACCTTTGTTTTGCCTGTTTGGGGCCTGAAAGACTAGTCTGTCTTCTGGTATGTCCACTAGTATGTTAACCAAATAAAAATAATGGCACAGGGTGTGCCAAAATGATAAAAACTCATGAACTAGTTAGACAGTAAACTCTGTAAATTGGAATTTGAGAAACCCAGCAACAATGTTGTTAGTTAATTTGACAGAAGAGAGCAATAGAAGGGAAGAGAATAAACGAGCATATAAGAATGAGGTGTTAGTAAATTCAAAACCAAATATGGTACTAGTATTATTCACCGAAACATTTTAAATCTATTCTCTACCCCCACAAGACTAGTTTAATTTCATTGGTAATTCTGAGTTATCTGTATACTTATATTCTCCCTCTGACCAACAGTATCACCTCCAGTCAACCATCAGTTACCTGATTATTGAGAACAGGATATACAGTTGACCCTTAAACAACTCGGGGGCTCGGGCACTCACCCACCACACAGTTGAAAATCCAAGTATAACTTACAGTCAGCCCTCTGAATATTCAGTTCCTCTGTACCTGAGGCACATGCAATACTGTAGTATTCACTACTGAAAATAACGCAGTATTTGGACCCGAGCAGTTCAAACCCATGTTGTTCAAGGGTCAACCGTAAAAGCTGAGCCTTCACATATTTCTAACAATTTTCCATATCTAAAGCAAAAATAAAATTAAGTTCATCTGACAGGAGACCTTTGGAGTAAATCTAAAGCTTTCTAAATAAAGGCTGCTGGAGAGCCATTGAAAGATTTTTTCATCAGTCTCAACCTAACACTTCAATAAAAGATATACCTAAAGTATCTTTTCTGTTCCATGCTCTGACAACATCTCATCTACTTGTAATTCTGACAAAAGATGACAGTGTTGCTCCTTTAACATTTTCCCCCTAATTTTCTAATTACCATTACTACTTTAATACTACCAACATATTTACTATTTTACTTTGTATTATAAAAATTTTCAAACATACACAAGAGTAGAAAGAACAGTAAAGTACCCACCAAACCACTTCAGTAACCAACATGTTGCCAAACTTGTTTCATTTGCCTCTGGCCCAACCCGAGCCCACCCCAAAATACATACCCCCCTCCCAAAATACATACCCCACACATACACACATTTATTTTTGCCCAAGTATTTAAATGCAAGTTCTAGACATGCCATTTGACCCATACTTTTATATGCATCTTTAAAAGACCCTAAAAAAAACAAAACAGTATCACGATCTTAATTTAACCATAACTTAAAAAAATTATCTAATATCTACTTTATATTCCAATTTCTCAACCGCCTCAGAGATGTCTTTTATCTTTTTATTTCTGAAACTTTCAAACCTATAGAAAAATAGGGGAAAAAGTATAACAAATTCCCATATACCTATCATCCAATTCAATAATTTACTTATAAGCAGTCTTTACCCCCATCTCAGATTATTATATAAGGTATCCCAGACACATTACTTTATCCATACATAGTTTGGTATATATGATGTCCTTTTACAGTTTGAATCGGAATCCAAACTTGACCCTCACAGTGTGCTCAGTTGTTTCTGAAGTCTCCTTTATTCTATATTAAAGAATAATTTTTATTCTCTCCCACCCCCTGCCTCCAAGTCTACTCCTTTTCCAATGCTGTCGTTGGAGACCCCAGGGCTTCTGACCTGAAGAATGACCTCTTCTTCTGTATTAGACAGACTGCTTCCTCACAGTATGAAAGTATGATACTCCCATGTTTTAAGCTGGTAATTAGTTGTACAGGCTTGACCAAACTCAGGTTCAAATTTTCAGGCACAAAAACTACATAAGGAATGTTATGTTCTTCCTATTGTACCACATCATGAGGCACAGAATGTCTGTTTGCCCCATTTTCAGTGATGTAAAGGTTGATCAGTTCACCTGATGTAGGCCTGATCCTTCCACTATAAAGTTCCGCATCCAGCTTTGACCTAATGGTTTTAGTATCCATTGATGATGGTTATCAAGATCCATTATATGATTACAGATTACAAAAAAAGTTTTTAAATCCATTCTTCCTTTTGCTTATATTCGTTGAAATCTTTCCATAAAGAACTTGACCACAGCAACATTTGTTACTCTGAAATCAATGATTCTCTCCCTTAACCAGTTTTTAGAGTAGTGAGCTGATGTAACCTCCAAAGGTTTATTTTAGCATAATTATAAACTCATTTATATATTTGATAATTTTGAGTCCACTTTATTATTTTTTTAGATGCCAATATTATCCCATCTTAGGCCAAGGGAATCTCTTCAAATTGGTGTGTGTGTGTATCAAAAGAAGAATATATTGACTTTACTTCAGGCCAGATTTACTGTGAGGCAGACCGTCGGTGTAACTAATATATGCAGGAAAAAAATAATGTATCAGCAAAAAGAAATCCACAAACTCAGAGAATACACTGAGATAATGGCACTAGTACTAGTAAGTCTCCTGCTGCACCGAGAGGAAATACTTAGGAGATCTTTTTCAGCTGAACTGTAAGCACACATTCTCTCCACTCTTTGGAATCTTTCCAAGAAATACTACCCCATGTCAACCCACCTCCACACCCCAACCTTACAGCTCCACAGGTTTACATAAATTTCTCAAAATCTGTTTAAAAGGAAAAATAATTCAGCCTCTCAAAATAACTCTCCACGCAAAGAATTTTTCTCTCTTCTACCCTTAAAAGCATGTAATTTTCTCATTTGGCTGTCAGTGTGTATGCTTGCAGTGCTTGAGTAAAAGGTGGAGGTGTGGGGAAGATTCTCAGAGGCAGTTTCACTTGTGTCTGTCCACTCTGCACTTATCGTTCTACAAGTCCTGCTATGAACTGCTTACTGTCATCTCTGTATCAAGGGACTGGAAAAATCAAGGGATAAGGATGTCTTATAAAACTCAGCATCTTGATGTGGGTAAAACAGCACATAAACTGCTTTCATCACTATTTGACCCTTAAGAATCCAGGGACACATTGCTATTATCAAGGTAACACCATTTCCCATTCAGTTTACTCTTTGTTCATCATGGATCCATAATGACTGCATACTACAATAAGGTCATACGCGTAGACACTTGTTCCCAGACACAAAGTCGAATTTATTCAGAGCTCTAATGGGAAATCCCATGACTTACTCCTCCAGGATCTGTTGTAGGATAAACCAGGATCATGGGCAAGGACCACATGTTGAATTTCTTTGTGGCCTGTTGATGCTTCTTACAATTGGAACAAAGTCCCTGAAGATCTCCATGGTGGTGAAGAGCTCACTTCTCAGGCAGCAGTACACTCACATGATTCTCATAAATCTGCTTCATGCTAGTAAAGGCTCCATATTACATTATCCCAAACAACAGCAATTGTGGATCAAGGGGAGGTCTCAGCAGTTTCTCATCAGTTGCATGTAAATTTATGTCAGCTGTTCCACAGGAGTTCACAGGGCTGAAGACGAAAAACCTGGGAAAGACTTGCATCTGGTCTTTGGGATGGTCCTATTAGGGTCAGGCAAGTTCACCCTTGCCCCCATCATCACCCCATTGCCTTCTGTTTGTGAAATCTGTTTTGAAATCCTTTGTCCTAATGCTCACCTTTCTTCACCTCCCTCACAAGTGCTCCTGGAGCCACTGCAGGACTCTGGCTCCAGAGGTGAGTGCAAGACTCATCAGACAAAGGGTGTTTCACGTAGTAGCTGATGTGTTCACGAACAGCCTAGTATAAGTACTCAACGGTTAGGTAGTGCTTTTGGTAAGAAAGCAGCAGTGACTGAGTAACAATGTCCCAGAGGAAGTGCTCAACTGCCTAATTTCTTCTCTCTCAAAAGTCCTGGAAGAATGACAAATTCAGAGCTATCCATAGTGGTGCTGCAGATCTCATAGATGAAAATATTATAGCAAAAATACTGGTCCACCTGGAAAATTGTGTGGAACGTGTGTATACACATCTGTCACTATCATATTTTCTGAAGCAATGCCAGAGTTTAGGTAGAGACTCACACATTTCAGACACGACCCCCCAGCACTGGCACATATAATACTGGATAGATCTTCAAGGTGGGTCTATAGACAGCAAGAAGATCATCATAATTAGATATTTCTAAGGAGAATGAGAGAGTTAAATAGCAATAAAAGTCAAAGGTCAAAAGAAATCTTAGCCCATCGTCGACAAAGAAAATTGGATATGAAAGGCAATGGAAAATGTGCTATCATTCCAAAACCCCAGGTTTCCTTTGCTACACATCTGGCCACCCAGTGGCATCCTTCAGCTCCAAGTAAGGCTGCTTCTCCCCTTGGTTTAGATCGTTATATGATCCATCCAGATAAAAGACAGCTCCTGAGATCTGTTGTTGCTTATGGCCAGAAACCCAAGAGACAAAATGTCCCACTGGGGTTTGAACATGCACAAGGCCATGTAAGCATTCCTCCCCACCATAACTGCTCAGCCTCTGAAATTTCCCCTTTCATCCCCAGAAAACTCTTTCATGATTTCAGCCTCACAGACATCTTTCAGAAAGAGCAGGCAGTCGTGCAGTATTGCTCAAGCCCTATAAAATGCATGAAACACGTTATTTCTCAGGTCTCTAAATCCACAGGCTACACATGAGAGAAATGAGACTCGTGACAACCAAGAAGTCACATCTTTGACTGGCAGGGTCAGCCTTGGCCACTGACCATCTTCACTTTGGGCTTCAACTACAACCACTTGGCCCTGGTACAGCCTGCTCACAGCTGTTGCGCATATACTTATTCCAGAGACAAGTCTTGTGCCCAGCAGGGATGCTAAACAGCTGCCCCATCTCTGTCTCAACAGTCACATGGTATCTGCTTTACTAAAATGGCAGCTTAACATAATGGTGGAATCACTGTTCTCACAGCACTTCTTCAGTTAAGATACATATCCACTCTGTAGGGCTTGAAAAACAGGCCATGCTCTACTACTATTGTGATTAAGGCTTTACTTCCACACAGCTGTACCAAATTAGTAACTTAGTCCAAACCTCAGTGGAGACAGATACATAGTCCTGTTCAACAATTAATTGTTACATTAAGATTTGACTAACAGGATTTGAAGAGTCTGGAGCTATCTAACAGGTCAGAAGCAGGCTATACACACTGAGAGAGAGAGTGTGTGTGTGTATCTCCCAGGTGCTGAAGCCCATATACTACTTCACTGCTTAAACAATAGGTTGTCAATCAGATATCACTGCATCCATCCCCCAAGTGTGCACCATCAAGGCTCAAGCTCAGAATCCTTAATCTCCATGTCCAGTAGCTCTCAGCAGCCTCTAACTTTCATCATCTCATCCATGGCTGAGGCCCAGCTCATTCAGACATCCACTACAACATGCTGCCCTACATATGCAGGTCCTGCCCTGCTACTATGCCATTTGATATAATCTGAAGAGTCTTTCACAGCTTCCTCGCTTCCAGGCACAAGATGCTTCAAGCTCATCTTTTCCATCTCCCCCAAACCTGGAATCAGCCACTTCCCCAAGGAGCCATGAATCTCTCTAGTGGAAAACAGTATTTAATGCTGGGACTGTTCATTGGTACTAAGTGATCACTATTTCTAGGCCTTGTTAGTATTTATAATAAACTTACATACAAAAGCCTGTGAATAAAAAGCAACTTACAGGCAAAGGAAACAGCTTCCCATTTACTTTTATACAGAGACTATTGGGATAGTTATCTTCTTGAGGGCAACTCGTCTCTGCCAGGCAAAGTCTGCATTAAAGAAAAAAAAGAAATACTCTTAAATAGTGTACTCAAACATGCTTATGTATTTACAAATTCAGGACTATATACATATAGTTACAAGTATAAAATTAAAGTAACAAGAAAATTTCAAACTCACCTCAACTGAACTTGGACTGTATAATCTCTCCTACCACCTGGCAAAAAATCCCTGTTGGAAAGAGAAAAAAATTGGGTTAAGAAAACACAACTAGAATTCACAGAAACATTCTCAACAGAAAAAAGCATTATTGGTATTTTTACTCTTAGTCCTTAAAAAATGAACACTACCTTACCAATAGCACAAGGCTTAATTAAAACACTGTAGTTATGAAAGCCCTCATTTGCTTAACATTTAGTCTTGTCTTTATGGCAATTTTAAAGTATTTTCAATTCATGGGAACTTTTGCAATACAATTTTTATTTCAACAGACAACAGACTTGGTTAACAGGAAAAGGAGCATGGTTCTAAAAGCGTTTAATAAATTAATTGTTTACTTACAGTGGTTCTGAAGCCTTGGCCGAGCATTCTAATCACTTGCAAATTTTGTTTGAATACACAGGCCCACTCATCAGATATTCTTATTGGTTCTGAAGCACAGTCTGAACATTAGTAGTTTTTACAACTACTCAGGTGATTCTAATAAAGAACTAGGCTAGAGAACTGGTGTCTAAAGCCTCAGAACCTCTATACCACAGCAACTTCATAACTATGTACCCGAATAAGGAAACAGAATCTCTTAAAATTTCTAGATGAGAACCTAACAGAGTCCCATGTGAAATATCTCTGGGATGGAACCTCCTAAACACTTGCCACTCAAAATGGAGTCCACAATGAAGCAGCATTGTAACTGCTTGGGAGCTTCTTAGTTAGAAATGCAGAATCTCAGGCTCCACTCCAAAACTACAGAATTAGAATCTGAATTTTAGTAAGATTCCCAAAGTGACATGTATTCACTTTACAGTTTAAGAAATCTTCTCCTTAGCCATTATCATAAATCCTGGACTGCGTCAGAGAGAAGATCATTAGCGATTAGTCCTGTCTTGAGAGTACATATAGCCCTCCATCTTGTTCCAACTTGCTTCTTACTGCTTCCAATTCTCTATGTTCACTGGAAGGCAGTAAAGCACAGTAGTGATCAGCCTGAGTTCCATAGTCCCAAACTGTATGACCTTGGACAAATTACCTAACCTTTCTGTGCCTCAGTTACATCTGTTAAAGATGGAAAATTACTGCATCTACTTCATGAAGTTGTTGTGACAAATGTGTTAATACTACATGTGAAGTGCCTGGATATAAGAAGTGCTCAACAAGTGTGAGCAGCTGGCTGCTATTATTGTTAACTGTTTCTCTTGCCAGTAGTAGCTTCCACATTTCTCAAATGCCTATATCCTAGACAACACTGACCTCTTGAGAGTAACTCATATCATTCTGCTCATTAAAATCAAGAAACACTGCAAAGTCTGGGTGCTGGAGCATCAAAAACAAATAAGACATAATATTTGCTCTCAAAGGTCTCATATGCTAGTAAGTAACAAATATATACAACTAAAATAATATGTGGTAAGTGTTACAGTACATTATGAAAAATAAGTGTTACAGAAAAGAGGGAAATTCAATTTTGTCTTGAAAGTTCAAGGCAGTTACCACAATCAGTCCAAACAAATTAGAAAACAGGGTTTGTACAGCAGTGGTTCTATTTCCACGTAGAGAGACACACTTCCATCAGTAACAGTGTCTTCACTAGCAGGGTGATTCTCAACAGAAGGAAAGGTGAGTATCAACCAGAGATACATGGCAGAAACTTGTTAGGTTGGGAACATAATTTTCAAAAAGAGAAAAGACAAAAGATGAACCTAGAAAGATAAATGGGAGAATGTTATAAAGGGTTTTGAATGGTTCACTAAGGATTTATACTTTATTCCAGTAAGGGAAATTAACATAAACTGGGAAATGCAATGTGTTACAGATCTTCACAAATGTGACAAGTAATGACTAAGCATCTTCTGACATTCATTTTCTGCCAGTCACTGCTCTAGGAACTTTCACATGTTGAACTCATTTATCAGATATAAAGGCATTTACTATATGCCAGGCACTGTGACAGGCTCTGAGAATATAAAAATGAGTAAGAGATGTTGAATTTACAAACTTCTTAGTGAAACCAAGTAGTCAAATAAATGCTTTAATAGAAAATAAGTACATGGGAGTAGTACAGAGAGAGACAAATGATGAATTTGGGGAAATGTGAAAAGGCATCACAGAAGAGGGAAGACTTGAACTGGCCCTTAAAACATGACTCAGGTTTGCCAAACAGAGTAAGGAGGAAGAGGATATGCAAAGATGCACAGCTATGAAAGTCTAGCTAGAGTACAGGCTGCTAAAGAAGAGTGACAGGAGATGAGATGATTAAAAAAAGTTTAGTAGATCCTACAGAGGCCACTTCTCCAAAGTCGAGAAACAAAACTAACCTACCACATACATAAAAATACAAAGAGCAACTTAGACAAAATGAGATGGCAGAGGAACATTTTCCAGATGAAGGAACGAGATAAAACTCCAGAAGAAAAACTACATGAAGCAGAGATAGGCAATCTACCCAAGAAAGAGTAATGATCGCAAGATGATCGAAGACTTTGGGAGAAGAATGGATGCACAGGGTGAGAAGTTAGAAGTTTTTAACAGAGTTAGAAAATATAGTGAACAACCAGAGATGAAGAATATAATAACTGAAATGAAAAATATACTAGAAGGAATCAACAACAGACTAAATGATACAGAGGAATGGATCAGTGGGCTGGAAGACAGTAGCAGAAATCACTGCCACTGAACAGAAAAAAGAAAAAAGAATGAAAAGAAATGAGGATAGTTTAAGAGACCTCTGGGACATCAAAAATCACTAATAATTCACATTATAGGGGCCCCCAAAAGGAGAAGAGAAAGAGAAAGGGCCTGAGAACATATTTGAAGACATAACAGCTGAAAACTTCCTTAACGTGGAAAAGGAAGGAAAAATAAACAAATGGGACCTAATCAAATATGAAAGCTTTTACAAAGCAAAGTAAACCATCCACAAAACAAAAAGACAATGTACGGAATGGCAGGAAATATTTGCAGATGATATGACTGATAAGGAATCAATATCCAACATTTATAAACAGCTCATACAACTCAACATCAAAAAAAAACCCGATTAAAAAATGAACAGAACCGAACAGACATTTTTCCAAAAAGGAAATGCAGATGGCCAACGACATTGTTAATCATCAGAGAAATGTAAGTCAAAACTACAATGAGGTATCACCTCACATGAGTCAGAAGGGCTATCATCAAAAAGTCTACAAATAATAAATGCTGGAGAAGGTGTGGAGGAAAAGGAACCTTGCTACACTGTTGGTGGGAATGCAAATTGGTGCAGCTACTATGGAGTACAGTGTGGAGGTTCCCTTAAAAACTAGTTACCATATGATCCAGCAATCCTACTCCCAGGCATATATCCAGGAGACAAACACTCTTAATTCAAAAAGATACATGCACCCCAACGTTCACAGCAGCACTACAATAGTCAAGACATGGAAGCAACCTAAGTGTCCATCAACAGATGAATGGATAAAGAAGATACAGATACACACAGACACACACACACACACACACACACACACACACACACACACACACACAAACACAATGGAGTATTACTCAGCCATAAAAAAGAATAAAATATTGTCATTTTTAGCAACATGGGTGGACCAAGAGATTATCATACTAAGTGAAGTAAGTCAGACAGAGAAAGACAAATATTATATACCACTTATATGTGGAATCTAAAAAAAATAACACAAATGAACTTATTTACAAAACAGAAAACAAACTCACAGACACAGAAAACAGACTTATGGTTTTCAAAAGGGAAAGAGGACTAGGGGAAGGGATAAATTAAGAGTATGGGATTAAAAGATACCACCATATATATAAAATAGATAATAAGGATTTACAGTACAGCACATGGAACTATATTCAATATCTTGTAATAACCTATAATGGAAAAGAATCTATAAAAGATACATATAGGGCTTCCCTGGTGGCGCAGTGGTTGAGAGTCCGTCTGCCGATGCAGGGGACACGGGTTCGTGCCCCGGTCTGGGAAGATCCCATGTGCCGCGGAGCGGCTGGGCCCGTGAGCCATGGCCGCTGAGCCTGTGCGTCCGGAGCCTGTGCTCCGCAAAGGGAGAGGCCACAACAGTGAGAGGCCCGCGTACCGCAAAAAAAAAAAAAAAAAGATACATATATATCTGAATAACTTAGCTGCACCTCCCCCTGAAACTGATGCAATACTGTAAATCAACTATACTTCAATTTAAAAAATTAAATTTTAAAAAAAGAAGATGAGTAGAGTAGGATGTTGAAGAGAATTGTCAAGCAATGGAGTATGGACTTCATAAGGTTTTTAAGCACAAGAAAGAAAAAACTGAATGGGCTTTAGAAAGATCACTTGGTCAGCTGGGAGAGTTAGGAGGTCATTACAATTGTATAGGCAAAAGATGAGGGCTTGAAAGTTATTGAAACATAAATATCACTGAATGATATTTAGGGATAATAACTGATAGGACTCAGTGACTGACTAGATACAGGAAGGTAGGATAAGGGGACCTAGGATGGTACCCAGGTTTCAGAATGGTGCAACTGGACAGATGGTGATGCTACTCACCAGGATAAGCAGAGGTAGAGCCAGTAATGGCATTCAACCCCCAACCATTGAGTGAGGTGGTGATTATTTTTCCAATTTTACACACTGGGTAAATAAGATTCAATAGGCTTTAGGAACTTACCTAGGGGCAAACAGACTTAAATGACTGAGCCAGAATTCACATTCCAATTGATACTACTCTAAAGACCATGCTAACTCCCTCAAAGGTAGAGTTAATTTAAGTTTTAAATCTTGAAAGAGACATAAAAGAAGGATCAACAGAGTGTAGCAAACTGAGGGGATGTGGTAGATGAAGTATGGGATAATACAAAGAGGCCTGTCCAGGCAGATCCCATGCCATTAATGAAATAGGCAATAAACTGAAATATATACTAAGCAAAAATCTCTTTGAAGCCAGTTAATAAAAAAAAAAAAAAAAGCACATCCACGGATACTATCACAGAGCAGTGAGAAGAGAATCACACGCTGATTTCGGGAACATGCAAGAGATGTCAGTGTAAGAAACTGAGAGAGCATGATTACAGAGGCAATGGTACCCAATGGAAGGAGTGGTGCTATAGCCAAGAACAGAGCTGAACTCACTATTCAATCGTTATAAGATGTAATAGAAAAAAAAACCAACCCAAACCTGAATGTATTCATGCCTCTGGTTTAGACCTTATCACCATTACAGGCAAAGGGGAGGAGCTGGATGCACAGCAGTTCTCAAATTTGCACACTGGAAACACCTGGGGAGCTTTAAAAACTACTGCTGTTTGGGTTCCACCCTCAGAGATTCTAATTTAATTGGTATGAATGAAATCTGGGTATTTGGAGTCTTAAAGGCTCCCCAGTTGATTCTAATATGCAGCAAAATTTGAGAACCATAGGGATAGAAGTCAAATGATACCACAAGGTGCACAATTATCCAAATCCAGAATGTGTAATATGCTAACAGAGTCAAATGAACCACTTTTTTCCAAAGAAAGTGGTAGGAAGTACTGTAAGAGCGGAACCAGAGCTCCTTGGAGAGGTTATCTTTCCAGAACTGGGGCAGAGAAAATAAAAGATGAGCCTGGAGCAGTAAAGTAGTCCTCAGAAATGCGTGGAGACATATCAAAAGGGCATAGGAGCCAACCTGAAAGAATGGCCAATAGCCAAAGGTAGAACAGTTTGAGCAACAATATGAATTATATAGCACTGGATTATAACCCAGAGTACTCCAGGGCCCACACAGATACAAGCAAGTAACTGAATAAATAAATGTGGGGCAAGGGACAGCCCTTCCTTACAAAAGAATAACTCCAATGTGGAAAAGAATAATAACAACAGAAAAATCACATCATTGGAGCACAAGAGTGTTTATGATGAAGTAAGTACTGAAGGCAAGATCCATGAGTGAATGCTAAATTGGTGGGAAAAATTTGAAGATAAACAGAATATGTGCCTAGTCTCAAAATATCTCCCCCAAGATATTTATTAATAACAAAGGAAAAAAACAGCAACTTTACAGTGCAGAAGTCTGGTGAACAGTACCTTACCCAAATGATCAAAATTAACATCACCAAATATAAGATGTATCAATATTATGGAGCACTGTTATGATACACTGAGAAGGGCATATAACTTGACGTACTCTTGCTAAAAATGCATAATCTCAATCTAATCATGACAAAACATCAGACAAACCCAAACTGAGGAACGTTCTACAAAATACCTGATCAGTACTCCACAAAAATATCGAAAGTTAAGAAAGAGAAGAAAACACTAAGAAACCATCACAGACTGAAAGAGACTAATGACACAACTATTAAACGTGATTTGGGATCTTGGATTGGATCCAGGAACAGCAGAAAAACTGATGAGGGCTTCCCTGGTGGCGCAGTGGTTGAGAGTCCGCCTGCCGATGCAGGGCACATGGGTTCGTGCCCCGGTCCGGGAAGATCCCACATGCCGCGGAGCATGTGGGCATGAGCGGCTGGGCCCGTGAGCCATGGCTGCTGAGCCTGCGTGTCTAGAGCCTGTGCTCCGCGACAGGAGAGGCCACAACAGTGAGAGGCCCGCGTACCACAAAACAAAAAACAAAACACAAAAACTGATGAAACCTGAATAAAGACTGTAGTTTAGTTAATAGTATTACACCAAGGTTAACTTCTTGGTTTTGATAACTGCACTTATAATTATGCAACATGGTAATATTAAAGGAACTGGCTGAAGAGTATTATCTACTACTTTCACATCTTTTCTATAAACCTAAGATTACTTCAAAGTAAAAAGTTTTTTTTTAATCTTGGGAGACATAAAAGTCAAAATAATACATGTCTGAATACTGAAGAACAACTGAGAAAATTTCAATATAGGGTAGACACTTTTATATTAAAGAATTATTAATTTTTTAGTGTGATTACATTAAAAATTAGAGATGTATCTTGAGGTATTTCTGGGTGAGATTACACGATGTCTGCAATTTCCTTTAAAATATTTCAGGAAAAAAGTTGAGGAGTGGTCACATACAGATTCCAAAATGTTGATAATTATTAAACCTAGGTAATGGGTACCAAACTGTTACTTCTGCTTCTTAGGAAGGAGATTTTTTACTATTTGATTACCCAACTCTGAAAAGGTTGGAGTTTGCATGCACATGCGTATGTGTGTTTTGTCTTCTTTGCTGGTAGGATCACAAATAGCCTTACTTTTATGGTTAATTTTTTTTTAATTTTTATTGTGGTTAAATATTCATAAGATAAAATTTATCATGTTAACCATCTTAAAGTGTATAGTTCTATGGCTTTAAGTACATTCACATTATACCTTCACCACCATCCATCTGCAGAACATGATTAAAATTTTTAATTGAAAACAATTATTTAAATTTTAGTCATTCATTTTTTTTGACTAGTTAATACACTCACATAGTTCAAACTTCAAAAAGATACAAAAAAGGATATAAAGTGAAGAGACTCCCCCAATTCCGACCCCGGCCACCTGATTCCCTCCTCCAGAGGCAGCTTATCATATTTGTCCAGACATATTTTATGCACTTAAGCAAATTACACACACACACCTTTTTAAGGCAAACAGTACATATTATTCACAATTCCATGCTGAGTAAATAATCTCCTTCCTTCAAAGGCCCACCCAACACCCTAAAGAAGCTTTCCCAGACCACCAACATTAATAGTAATCTTCTATAAATCAGCTCTTATTTGTCATTACTGAATTGGCTCCTTTCATGCTGGCTCTTGCAATGCCAACAATCATTTTAGGTATATGAGCTAGTTCACTAGCGAGACTGCAAGCAACTTGTAGAAAAGAGGCATGTCATACAATACAGTGTTTTGTACCTAATAAACACTTAGTAAATGTTCTCAAGCAAGGAATCATCAATGAATAACAAACAAAACTTAATAATAATGATATGGCTTGGATATAAAATATAATTTTTCATTTATCCTATTAATTTTTTAGTTGGTTTATTACTATCCCCAAGATTGAAAGTACTTCCAATTTATAAAAACTGCCTGCAATGTCTTGCCCCTGGTGGACATGAACTCCATCAAGCTACATTCATTTTACTTCTTTGATAATTTCCTCCTCTAAATTCTCTCTACTTTTCCTAAAACCTCTATTATTTGGATATTGGGTCTTTTGGACTAATCCTTAGTACTGTCTCTTTTTTTTTCTTTTAATCTTATTTTTCAACACTTTGTCTTTTTCCCTTTTGTGGGAGAGCCAGACTATCTAAGCACTACTTTTTGGGAGCTCAAATTTTACCAGGTCAAGTTATAAAATCATTCTGAGACTTTGTTGAGAGCAGTGATGTGATTAACGAAAGAATCTAAAGCTGTGTGTGTCCCATACTCTTCCACATAACAGTGCATCTTCAAGATATCAGGATGTTTAAAAGAGAGAGAGGCCCATAAATTTGGATCCACCACCCTGGGAGATTGACAATACACATTAACATATTAAAGACTGAAAAATCTGGCTTTAAGAACTTATGTACCTACGTTGAATACAGAATTTCCAAAACTTAACTGCTGAATCTTTACTTTTTAAAAACTCCTATTAACATCTCAGAGAAGGTGAGTGTTCTAATGAAGAGCTGAAAGGATGCAAAAAACCTCTAATTTGCTCAACTCTTTGTTCCAACTTTTAACTCTACAATCCCAGAAAATCATGTGACCTCCGGGAGTCTCAGTTTTCTTATGCTAAATCTTTCTAAAGTCTTATAAATAATATATTATTAACACCAAGGATGACTATATTTTTAACTGGGAAAGTATATACTACAGATTTCCTTTTCTTTCCTCCTATCTCTTAGTTCATTTGCTCTTTATAAATGTGTTTAAGTTTACCCTATTTTTTGAAATGGAAAAGCTAAGAGTATTTTTCATAATTGTTTTCATATTTCTGCTAATTTTTTGGTCTAGGTGAGCATATAGCTCAGAATGGTCCCAGTTTATGTTCTTATCCCAGAAAAAATTATTAATAATATCCATTTTCACTCTAAAAATGCCTATGTTTGGATGATGAAGTTTATGGTCACTCTATCTTTATTCTGTTACCACAAATTCTTTATGTTGCTATATTTAGAATAAAAGTTTCATTAAAAAAAAGTTACTGCCAAAAGTAATTCAAAGGGGTTTTATTCAAAAGTTAAAATTTTTTTCTAACAGAGTATTTATTAAATATTTGGCTAACCTTAGTCAAAATATACTATGCTTACTTAAGGAGAAATGGCCCAACTGTTATGGACTGAACTGTGTTCCCCCAAAATTCATATGCTGAAGCCCTAACCCCCAGTGTGACTGTCTGTGGAGGTGGGGACTTTAAAGAGGTCATTAAGATTGAATGAGGTCATAAGGGTGGGGCCTTAATCCACTAGGACTGGTGTCCTTATAAGAAGAAGAAGAGACACCAGGAATACACAGGCACACAGAGGAAAGGCCATGTGAGTACACACAGCAAGAAGACAGCCATCTGCAAGCCAAGGAGGGAGGGCTCAGAAGAAACCAAATCTGTCAACACCTTAGTCTTGGACTTCAAGCCTCCTGAAATGTGAGAAGACAAATTTCTGTTGTTTAAGGCACCCAGTCTGTGGTACGCTGTTATGGCAGGCCTAGCAGACTAATACACCAACATCCTGGAGAATATATTCCAAACTCCTCTTACCTGGATATGCATATCTCTCTAACTTGTTGAGGTGTCAGAGCAAAAATAAAAAACTTCTCTTGAAACCGTTGAATACTGCTTTGAACTGGGGAAGAAAAAAAAAGAAAGATAATATTCCAATAACAAATCCAATAACAGATGAACCTGCAATAACCAGGCACTTCTGATAAAGAGTCTGCCGAATTCTGAAACTTTTATGGTTAAAATACACCAATATAAAGTACTAAGCTACATTCATCTTGGACTCATGAAAGTAAAGTCACTCTAAAGCAGGTTCAATGTTAAACATTTGTCATTCTTTATTCTAACATACTAATTTTAATCAAAATATAACACAACCTTCGGGCTTCCCTGGTGGCGCAGTGGTTGAGAGTCTGCCTGCGATGCAGGGGACACGGGTTCATGCCCCAGTCCGGGAAGATCCCACATGCCGCGGAGCGCCTAGACCCGTGAGCCGTGGCCGCTGAGCCTGCGCGTCCAGAGCCTGCGCTCCGCAATGGGAGAGGCCACAACAGTGAGAGGCCCGCGTACCGCAAAAAAAAAATATATATATATATACACACACACATATATATGTATATATACATATATACGTATATATATATAAATATAAAAAACACAACCTTCAAAATTATATTTCATCCTTGACTACGGTATCATCTAATGAAAAGTCTGAGGAAGTCAAAAACACCCCCCAGGAGAATTCTATCCAAGATTCAGGTCTCTTTTGTTCTTGTTTGTTTTGTTTCTTTTGTTGTTGTGTTTTATTTTCAATACTTTATATTCAATTACACAGAGCATTCATATAAGATAAAATTTTAAATTTTAAAACTTCTAGGTTGGGAGACTTATTAAGACACAAAATAATTATCAGCATACAGATGATTAGCTAGTTTAAAAAGATTATCTAATAAAGTCATCCTTCAGAAGTGTATTATTAAAAACTGAAGTGTATTTTCTTCTCAAAGAACTTTAACAGATTCAATGATGTTCTAGTACTCATTAAAACAATGAATGCTTTCAATGAACACTTGACTGAATATGCATCTACACAGCAAAATTTTTCTAATTTTATGAGATTTAAACAGAATATAGAAAACTTGAATCACCTGGAAGAATTTTATCTATACAGAAACAATCACTGTATTAATAATCATCAGTGATGTTTAATACTAAAATACTTTTCTCCCTATACAACAGCTGCAAAGATCATTTGGGGAGGGCAGAGTACTGAGGTTTCACTCTTCTTGTAAAACAGTGGCTTTAATTCAGAATTATGAAAAAAGGAGAATTGTTACCAATTGTTCAATCACAGAAATCATTCATTTCCTTTATCTCAGTTCTCCGTCTTCATCCCCTATATCCAGTTAGTCATTAAGTCCTGTTTTGTTTTGTTTTTTAATTTTCTTATTGGCTGCCTCCTATTTTCACTACCGCCATCCTACTCAAAACCTATTATTACTTTGTACAAATGAAGGAGCAACCCTGCCTCTCTGCCAGTCCCTCATGAGAACACAAGTGCAGAGCTGGTAATCCTCAGCACCACTTTTTCATCACCATTCCTCTGCTGAAAAATGCTAAGCAGAACTTATCTGTGAATGAACCATGTCTAAACTCCTTTATCTATGAGAACCTCCATAACAATGGCCTCAACTCTTTCTTAACAAATCTACATTTCCAATGTCTCCCCAAGTCCTGCTCTATTCACTGTCAGGTCTCACAACTGTGTCATTTTTATTTCTACTCCTGTGACTACTCACAGTTCTCACCTTTCCTGATGCCCACTCTCCGACACACTCCATCAATTCAAAGCAGGCACATTCATCCTTCAAAGCTCCCTCAAGTGTCCCTCCTACTCCAAAAAGTCTTGATTAACTTCTTCATTCATTAGGCCAATACAATATTTGAGCTTTAGGTTCACAAGTTATAGGGCTTCGTCATACAAGCATATAACTGCTTGCTACTTTTCTCTCATGTTAATATTCTCTCTCCAACTAAACAGCAAAATTCCTAAAGCCCACTCCATACTTCTGACTTCTCCACAATTAGGCTACATGACCATATCCAAATTAAATCCTCATTATATACTTGTTAACTGAGTTAACAGAAATGAATTTATCCAAATTCTTTAGAAGTGAGATTGTGAAGTGATTTAATGGCTTTACATTAATGTGCATATCACCTTAAACCTGTTTAACTACACCCAGAGGCTTAATGAGTATTTCCTAATATTCAGAAATTTAAGAATAAGAAAAGATGCTGACGCTCATTAATTTGTCACCTATCAGATTACAAAGATGAAAAGACCAACAACACAATGCTGATGAGGTGTAGGGAAAATAATACATTCATACATTATTGGGAGTATAAATTGCTATGATGCTTCTGAAGCAACCAAAATTTCTCTACAAAAGTTGAATATCAAAATATTAAATAATCATACTCCTTGACCCAAAATAGTCATATCTAGGCATTTACATTTCATGAATATGCAACGCAAGTATTCAGAAACACATATGCAAAAATGCTCACAGCAGCAATGTTTCTAAGACTGCAAGAATAGTGCCCAAGATATGTTATACACTAAAATACTTCTGAATAAATAATAAAAACTGAAAACTGAAAATGTACATCAACAGAATACTGGTTCAGTTATGGTACATCTACAAGATAACAGACTTACTATAATCTACAGATGTACAATATATTTCTAAGAAATACAGTTAAGAAAGATTGTCAAGGCGCAGAACTCCAGAGGGCAATTTTAACAGTGGTACAAGTAGAATAATGCCTACTACCTCCACCAGAAAAGTGGCACAGTGGTTCTGTGGTTAGAAGAGCCTTGTTTAATGAAGGGGAAGAGAAAAAAGATGACATAATACGCAGAGAAACAGTTAATTATTGATATGACTCAAGCTGAGTAATAAATGAGGTTATGAGGGACTTTCCCTTTTTGTTATACTTCTATGTTTGAATTTTCAATTACTAGCATAAATTACTTTTGTAATCTGAAAAGCACAATGAAGAAATTTTAAGGAATCAAAGACTCATAATACTTTGAAGGTATTTCACAAAATACCAAACAGCTAGACATATCGACATGTAGATGTTTGTAAACAGAGTGAACAAAAAGAGCTCGTCACAGAAGAATATATACACAGTATACCATCATATAAATTTCAAAAGCAATCCAATTAAACATTACATTTTTTTATACACATATGGTAAAACAAGCAAAAGAGAGAAACACAAAATCCAGAATAGTGATTTAACTCAAAAAGGAAAAGGCAAGGAAATGGCTTCAAAGATACTGGCAATGTTCCTTTCTTAAAAACTGTGCAGTGGTTTCACAGGTGTTCATTCATGGATATTCTTTATAACAATGTTTTTTATGTATTCTTTTGTACAGACTGAATACAGACAAACTTTTTAAAGAGAAAGGATTTCATCACCACAAGAAATTATCTTAAAAAAAGAAGAGAAGAAAGAAAACAGAAAATTGAAAAAAAAGACAAAAATACTGCCTGTGAGAGCAAATTAGAATAGCTATTTAAGGGAAGAGAAGAGAGATTTTGTTAGCCTGTTTTCAGATTAGGGGATTATGCATCTGTTACAGTAAAACCTCAGCTATAGAGAACCTCACTTAGTATTACTGTGTACACTCATGCTTTCTAGATGCCACAGATTGTCATTTTAAATGCTAAAATAATTTTATTTAAACAATTTTAATAAAACCAAACTGCAAAACTATGTAATAATGTATCTTCTTAAATAGAATATACTCATCGTGGTTGTTTGGGGGTTTTATTTGGCATCAATACATGCATCTTGCTGTAACAGCGATTCCCTCAATACTAAAGGACTATTGGTTTCAATATTCCCAAGAGGTTTTGGAATGACATTTTTTGACTTTTTGTTTGTTTTTTTTCTACCAGGGCTCTTTCAATCTTTCCCATGTTGTTAATTAATTCCTGCTCAACAGTATGTTGATGGCTTAGAAATCATCTAATCGACTACATATTAAATCGAGAATACACTGACTGGCCCACGGATGTAAAGAATATGTGCTTTGAAATACGGATTTGTTCTCTCTTTCAATTCCTGAGGCTAATTTAATTCTCAGTTCCCAAATGTAAATAGGTTTCTCCATAACAGTGTTCCAGATAAATGGATTTACCCCAAATTTTAATTTTTACAAGTATTTTCAACATTATATAACCAAATCATTAAAACTTAAGGCAATTTCTAAATGTCACTGCATTGCTTTAGACATCATGACACTAAATATTTTCATATGAAGGTTGTTACTGGAAATGATTAAATTTTTCCACTTTTATTTGGCAGACTATATGGTATTACGCCGATTTTTTAACTTTCTACTTCAAAGTCTAAAACAGCCTTTTTTAGATCACTGTTTTATCAATCTGAAATAATAAGACTATATACATTAAGAAAATTCTTTTTTTTTTCTTTTTGGGGAAGGCAGGATAAGGAAATGTTTAAGCCTTGTTATAAACAAAATCTGTTTATAAAGTTTATAAAAGCAATGATAGGCAGAACTCCTGAAAAATACATGAGTCAACAATTTTTTAGCTCAGGAGCAAAAAGTTATTTTATAAGCTCTGAGGTTTTATGGATTTCTTACATTCTAATGTAAGCTACGAGCAAAAGGCAGGTTTTCTTCTTACCCACTCTTCAACGAAAAATGCCTCTGGCGTTATTTTATCTAAGCCACATGAGATACAAAAATTTTATTTTAGTAAATTTATAAAAAGCCTATTACCTTCCTTTAATTGAGGTTAATGAAAGAGAAACTCTATGAAGAATACAGAAAAGTAAGAAAATTCCTATTTCTGTTTCTGAACAAAGGAAAGTATGGAAAGCAAGGCACAAAGCCTCTTAAGAGCTCACTGCTTGGCACACCGCTGACACTAGGAGCAGAGAAGACATGCTGCTGCATCTTCTCTCCATCTCCAGTCATCTTCCTTCCAGGCATTTGATCCGGTTCTGAAACACCTTCCCCTGTAACCAGAACCCCACATGGCCTCTTATGCTCAGTCCTGCCTTAGCCATATTCCTGAGGAGTTCCATGAGGTAGGGTCACCTAAGCACATTACTCGTCTGACTCTTTCTCTGAACACGAAGAAATAAATTTACAATAACTCCTAAGAAACATGTGAATGAGCCATGACACTGTATGTACATTGGTATGAACCAAAAACCATGAAAAAAGGAGGAACAAAAAAATAAATTATGGAAACATTTTAAGCAGATAAATGAACCTGGTTAAAAAAAAAGTTAAAAATGAAAGTAAAATCATAAAAGAAACACAGCTGGGTAATAAACATTTTAAATGTTTGTTCCTGTTATTAATTTTAAAAATGAAAAATCTAAACAAGATACAAGTTTCCATCTACCGAAATTGCAAAGATCAATAAAGGCAGGAAGTAAAAAGCGCAACGAGAGACATTCTCGCACTTTGTGGAATTTAAACTGGCACAGCTATTCTGGAAACTAATTTAGTGATATGTTATCAAGAGTCCTTACTCTTTGATGCAATAATTCTACTCAAAGGACTTTGCACAAATGCGAACAAACACAGAATCCTTATTTCAGAATGAATGTAATGAAGGAATAAAATGCATTACTCTACCTCCCTGGCTCAGTTTTGTTAAACAAAAACAAAGCAAGGAGAAAGGGCCTGGGAAAAGCACAGCCACCTTGGCCTGCCACCATCAGGCCATACTGACCCCATTAACCAGCCCTGCCCCTCAGAATTTCCTTCTAGTTCAACCAAGATGTACAAGTATAGTCCTATACAAAACTAAAAAAGCACATTGATATATTTAAGAGAGTTTTCAAATGACTTGAGACAAAAAGGGTTCTTCCTAGGATGGAAAGGAAAATGACCTCCCGGACTAACTATGAAATGCTAATTTCCCAAACAATTTATTTTATCAATAAATTCAAATACCTCTGTAAATAATTTCATTAGCCAGTAAGAAAATATGCCATTACAGCACAGAAGTCATAAACCTAGGTATAAATTTGTTAAAGTCACGTGTATCAACGTTTAATATAAAATTTGCTACATTTTCTAAGCAGTCAACGGTTATTAAACAAAAAGCTAAAAAACGTGTGTCAAACTCTGCCATGTTAGGAAAAAATTAAGTATAAAAGATTTATTCCTTAGGAAAACAGTTTAAAAAGCTATGTTAAACAGAAACTAAGTCTCTTTGTAAAAGCATCAAAAGGTGGAACCACAGCAATAAATAAGATTTGTGTCTTTTCATACACACACAGAAGCAATTTGAGTTCTAAGCTATAAGAAGAAAGTTTGACGAATGAAGAGTTTTATATTAGATTTCTGTCATGGTTGCCAATATTTCTTTTTATTTGTACATTTAAACATTTGGTATTTTAATGCCTCAGTTTTATAATACTAACAGCCAATCATTAATTAACAGTTGAAGGCCTCTGGCTTTACTTACTCTCTTGTCCAGAAGAAACAGATTTCTCTAACACTTACCTAAACTCGTGGGCTTGATGAGAACATCAAGGACATCATAAAAGGGTAAGTTTTTTAACTGCACATCAGGATGAACAGGAGGGATTGGGGGAGATGGCTGCTGCATCTCAAACGTGGGTTTAGTATCTTGAAGCAGTACAGAACCAACAGGAGAGGACGGCGAGTGAGGTGTAACTGAAGTGGAAGGCAACGAGTGGATTCCAGCCACAGCCAAGTCAGGTTCTACAGGTGAGGAGCTACCATCCAAACTGAAAACCGATGATTTGATTGTGGATAAATCAGAAAGGCCTTCAAGAGTCCGTGGGTATCGGCGTCTATACAATTCTCTGATTTTAATCTGAACCGCAGGGCTGCAGCCGCTCTTCAATAAATGCAACGCCCTCATCAGGAGGTCATGCTTGCGTCCACTTTTATTCCTTCCGGCAAAGCCTAGTAACACTTGTAGTTCAGAAACCCTAAAACTAGAAACCATATTCTAAAAGGAAAGAAAAAAAAGGGATATAAGCCAATAGTCAGCCTCAAGCATATAAAAATCCTATCTAAAATCTACTGTAAAATCTGATTTTTCTAGCATTCTATCAACTGGCATGTGCTAGTAACCAGCATTTTCACATATCACTTAGAATTGTTATTGTTTCTATAGCCACCACCCCTCCCCCACCAATTACAGTCAAGTTATAGTGTTAATTATGCTTTGCTGTACTCAATTTTGGTCATCTATGGTCTATTGGTTTCTGCTAACCACTTCATTATCTGATTATGCCCAAGTGTAAACCCATATTTGCTTTACCACTATGAAATCTAAACCAATGAAAATGTTCCTCTTCAAAACTAAGCCCTACCAATACACAATGTAATGTCTGTTACAGTATTATCACCAATTAACCAAAAAAATTTAGGTTTCTGCAACAACGTACCTGTAAAACTTCTGAGGTTAAGCAAGAAATCTACAAAATCAAGACAGAACTGTAATACAAAATCCAATGAATTTTTTCACCCCAGCTCAAATATTAAGGAACACACAACATAAGAAAATAATATTTTTAAATATTAAAGCTAAAAACCACATACATCTTATTTAGCAGTCAAACTTCTAAAATGATGGAAGTTCTCAGCTAAGTATCCAATGTGAAAAATAGCTTTGAAGAGTAAGGATATGAGTGGTCATAAATCTTAAAAGGCAAGATACCCTCCTTGCCACTCTACCAACTTGTTCTTGGGTGTAAAATGAAGATTATAAGTAGTTCCTGTTTCACAGGAACCATCTATTTAATTCAACAAAACCTAGTAAATTCTAAGCACTTACTGCCTCATAAACCCACCTACTTAAGTCATTTTCAGCCAATTCTGAACTCAGAGGTAAACCACACTTGGGTCAGATTTATCTGTACCACACATGCACCATCTGGCCAGAAAGAGGAGTAAGACCTGGAGCTGAGCAAAAGCCCTTTCAGAAACCAACCTTAAGGAAACTTTCCCCAGCCCTCCTCCTCAGTGCTGCACACTCTACAGCTGCCTGGGATTCCTTCTCAACCTGGTGAGTATGCAGTGGCCACACCTACAGTTGGCAGTGATTCATAATTCCTCCGTTCTGCACTTTTAAGTCTCATTGACAGCCCAGGAACAACTGCTATAACTCTGGTTTTAATTGTTGGCAATACTTGATAGTTTTCCAAAATGCAAACAAATTTAAATATATCAAAGTAATCTGCATGTACATGCTGTATCATAATTCTACTTCATATATTGTCTCCAAATTTCATATTGTACAAGTCAGAGAATACTAAGTTGTAATCCTAGCAACCATTTTATACTCTTGATCAGTGCTGTCCAATAGAAATAGGAACCACATATATAATTCTAAATTTTCTAGTAGCCACATTAAAATAAATTTTAAATTAATTTTGATAATATGCTTTATTTAACCCAATACATCAAAAAGTATTATTTCAAGATGAAAACAGTTTTTGTGGTTTAAAAATAGTCATTTTTTGGGCTTCCCTTGGTGGCGCAGTGGTTGAGAATCCGCCTGCCGATGCAGGGGACACAGGTTCGTGCCCCGGTCGGGAGGATCCCACATGCCTCGGAGCGGCTGGGCCCGTGAGCCATGGCCGTTGAGCCTGCGCGTCCGGAGCCTGTGCTCCGCAACGGGAGAGGCCACAACAGTGAGAGGCCCGCGTACCGCAAAAAAAAAAAAAAGTCATTTTTTAAGTGTCAATGAGATCTTTTTCATACTAGGTCTTCAATATCCAGTGTGTATTTCACACTTGGAGCACATCTCAATTCGGACTAACACCAGTTCAAGTGCTTAGGGAGCCACATGTGGCTAGTAGCTACCACACTGGACAGTACGGCTCTAAATCATACTCTAATAGCAACATATATCACAAATATCATGATCGTTATACTTGAACTCGCGTCATTTCCCCCATGTGTAAAAGGAAGACTTTATTTATCTTACCCCTTATGCTATGAACAACAAAGATGGAAAACAAGAAAAATTTTGGCCTATCTCATGGCACACCAGTAACAGTCAAGGTTTCATGCATAATAAGGACTACGATAGCTTTTGGAAGTTTCCTCCCAAGCAAGAAATGCAATGCATCTTTCCCAAAGTCCTCAATCCTAAAAAAATACTTCAATTGAAATCTGCTTATATTACGGTAGCATAAATAACATTAAATCATGGAGAACGCTAACAACGCTAGTGACAATCACGCTATCTGTGATTCTTTCTAAAGAAATCAAACTAACTCAGAATACACTGCTTCTCTCCTTGTACTTATTTTCAGGTATTCTTCACTTTAAGGAAACTTGTTTTACAGAAATGACAAAATAGAGTACAAGGCACCCTAAAGCTTGACTCTCAAAAAGGAATTTCTGGGAGGTCGCATAATACTTATTTCCAATGGTAACTTTATTTGGCAAAGAATGCTGAAGTAATTGGTCTAATAGCTATTGTAAACATACAAATGAAAAGGAAGAAAGAGAAAGGCTTCCAACTATGAATGCAGAATCACAGCATTCTGAAGCAAACAGAAATCCCCCAGTTTAGGGAAGGGCAAAGGAAACAACAGGAGACAGGACAGTCTTTGCACTGCAAAATGTTGCCAAAATAAAGTATTGCCAGGCACTTGCTCAAAGATGATGGTGTTGAGAGTCAATGGTACCCTGTGGAAAGCTTCACACCAGCAATCACTAGTTGAAGGTCAAGTCCTGGCATCAAGACTTAGGACTTTGGCCAAGTCACATTATCTTTCTGGTCATCCATTTCTATTTTAAAACAACAACAACAAAAAACCTCTCCTTTATTTAGCATTCACTACTAAGATATTCTCTAAGGAGATTACTAAATCAAATTCTATGAATATGTTTTTCTTGGCAAATTTTGCTGGATCCCACTTCTTAAAGTGATGCCTTTTTTTTTTAACTCTGTCTTCAACCAATTTCAGCAGCCACCAGCTGAGGTGAGCCTGCTATGAATACTACCAAGAATGGATTTCAACTGTTACTTTCCACCAATCTCTGATGTCTACATTTCTAGTCTAATTTTTTTCAAGTGGATTTTACCAGTTCATCCTACTGCCTCCCAAAGTCTGCCCTCTAATACTTCAGTTACAATTGCTATGTGCCCTATACAGAGAAATTTCTCAATAAATGTTTGCTGACTAACTTTAAGGAAATTCAAGAACTACAGAGAACTATGTTGGCATAACTGATTTTTAAAAAGATACATAAGCAATCTGATTTCTAAAGAAAAGCTAAATAAATTAAGACTAGAAATTTAAATCAATCTTTTTCTTTGTCAAATTTAAGTAACACAAAATTATTAAAAAATTTTAAAGCTGGGACTTTATATAACTGAAACATTACATATAGGAGTGAAGGCCACTTGAAGGTGCTATAAAATTGTCAAAAATAGCACAGAATTTGGGGAAGCTCTAGTGGGTCAGCTAATGCATATATATGGAATCTTAAAAAGAAAAAGGTACTGATGAACCTAGTTGCAGGGCAGGAAGAAAGATGTAGACAGAGAATGGACTTGAAGACACAGGGTGGGAGGGGGAAGCTGGGGCGAAGTGAGAGTAGCATCGACATATATACACTACTGAATGCAAAGTAATTAGCTAGTGGGAAGCAGCAGCATAGCACAGGGAGATCAGCTTGATGCTTTGTGATAACCTAGAGGGGTGGGATAGGGGGGGTGGGATAGGGAGGGTGGGAGGGAGGCTCAAGAGGGAGGGGATATGGAGACATATGTATGCATGTGGCTGATTCACTTTGGTGTACAACAGAAAGTAACACAGTATTTATACTGTGAAGCAATTATACTCCAATAAAGATCTATCAAAAAAAAAGTCATGGTAAAGAACAATACAGCTTTGTAAATCCTCCATCTGCTATGATGTATAATATGGGGAAGGGAGAGGAGCTGCTGACGGAAACTGACAAATCACATTATTAATATCGCCCATCCCAACTATAATATTAAAACAATCTACACCTTCACTTATAAATAAGAATGGATTAAAAAAAAATCAGGTACATAATCAATACATCAAAGGCATGTTTGAGCTGATGCCATAAGAAAAACTATGTGGCCAGTTAGAAAGATACTGCAATTCCAGAAGTCACAGGAGGCCCCAGTTCCTGGCTCTGTACTCCTGTGAAATCATGTAGTCCCTATAATTAAATCCCTTTTTACTTGAGATACTTGATGTGGATCTCTTCCTCACAACGCACTGATAAAAATAACAACTCAGCTAAAAAAATTCAAAACTGGAAATCATCTATTAAAAGAAATAAAAAAGACACATTTTAAAAACCTATAAAATTAGCCAAAGCTTGGGAGACCATCTCCCTAAATGCTTCCATTTTATACAAGATTTAAAATAAATTGAGTAGTCAATTCGAGAAGCAAAAAAGTAACAACAGGGCTTCCCTGGTGGCGCAGTGGTTGAGAGTCCGCCTGCCGATGCATGGGACACGGGTTCGTGCCCCGTTCCGGGAGGATCCCACATGCCGCGGAGCGGTTGGGCCTGTGAGCCATGGCCGCTGAGCCTACGCGTCCGGAGCCTGTGGTCCGCAACGGGAGAGGCCACAACAGTGAGAGGTCCACATATCGCGAAACAAAACAAAACAAAAAAAACTGCCTATGAAAAAAGTAACAACAAACACACACCCTCAAAAAAAGTGAAGAATTAAAGGATAAAAGCAAGAAAACATGACTTAGAAAGCAAAATGCAAGAAGCCTGTAAAGTCAGGCCAAAAAAGGGAAAGAAAATGAATATGGTCCTGAGAATGAGAAAAGAAACATAAAGACCACAAATACTAAGCAAATTTCTTTAAACAAAGAGAACAGCACATGCTGTTATATTCTAATAACTTAAAGATATAGACGTAAGTTATTTCCTAAAAAAATATAAATTACTCAATCTGATTCAAGAAGAAGTATATTATCTTTGTCCCCCTCCACTTCCAAAAGTATCTGTCCAGACAAGATAGCTTAGTAAATAAATTCTACTAACTCTTCAAGGAAAAGGTGGAATTCTGTTCCTTAAACTGTTCAAAAGCATAAGAGTCAGAAAATCAAATACAAAATAGAAGACAAACATGGAAAAAATGGTTGAACACAAAACACAAGTTTTTAAAATATGCAAATTATTGTTTTTTCAAACTTCAGCAGGAGAATCCACTCATCCAACCATAAGTTTAGGCAAAAGCCTGACAAAACACCTAGTATACCACCTATTCTTTCTCATTTCCCAAGATAGATGATAATGAGTCTTTTTGTAACACATCAATGTTTCCTATGAGTACAGACACAAAAGCTCTCAAAGTACCCAAATAAAGTTTAATCTACGAAAATAAAAATGGTTTAACATAAATTTAGTAAATTACTTGGTTAAGATTATTTCGGTCCTTATATTCACATACTGAAATACTTATGAATAAAACTTATATAAAATATATGGAATTTCCTCTAAAATCATTTGTGGGGAGTGAGGACATACATGAAAAAAGACCAGAGGTGATAACTGCTGGGTATTGGGTACACGGGGAATTCTCTACCTTTGTAAGTTAGAATGCTTCCATAGTAAAAAGTTTGCTTGAATGGGAAACTGGTTGTGGGGTATATGGCACTGTACTATCTTCCCAACTTTACTATTAATCTGAAAGTATTTTAGATTTAATTAAACAAAATTTGTCAGTTTGTTTAAAGCTAGGATAAAAAGATTGTGGTCTAAATACCATTTCCCACAAAAAGAACCCAGGTTCCTTGAGAAACTGGCAAGTCTGGGGTAGAAAAGGCACAAGATAAGCCTACAACATCCTATCCAGAAAGCAAAGAAATTATCAAAAACTACTGGAATCTTGTCAGAAGGACACAGAAAACAACCCAGTAGCCCAAGACAAGCCAATGTGAGCAGCAAAAAGACTAATAACTGCATCAGAGTCAAACACATCAAATATATTAAATATCATTTGCACATGATACTTAAAAAAACAACTCACTGATCTCCTTTAGAAAATATTGGGAAACCAACTCATTAGTATTCTGAAAATTGATAAAGAATGAAAACAATACAAAAAGATTTACTGGTTCACAAAAAAGCCATATGATTATGTGGATAAATGCTAGAAAAGCATTTGATAATATCCATTCCTGACAAAGCCTCTCAATGAACAGGAACAGAAAGAAACTCTTAATATGATAAAGGATACCTATCAGAAATCAATAACAAATATACTTAAAGATGAAACACTGGATCATAAAGACCTATGAAATACACATTATATTGTGTCATTTAAAAGAATTCCAAAGAACCTAGACAGTAAAAATCTTAAAAGTAACATTAACAATTTACAAATGATAGAACTTTTTATATTGGAAATAAAAGAAAATCCACTGAAAAATCAGACCCAATAATAATCAGTCAACAAAACTTTTTGAATTTTCTGTACATCAAATAGGTTTTCAAATGACTTATCAGGGAAAACAGTATTTTTTTAAATGAATCTAGTTAACATAAGGATATGAAATGCAAAGGTATAAATTTAAAAATTTTTCAAGACCTACATTAAAAAAACTGATAGTACATTTTTTAAAAAACCTTGAATAAATTAAGGAATATATTATGTTACTAGGCAAAAGTAGTAAATGCTGAAAAGATGTCAATTCTCCCCAACTTAAGTTATAAATATAATAAAATTCCAGTGAATTTTGACAGATCAAACTTACAACAAAGAATTAAATAAAATACATAATATGACATGTGGTGATGAACACAATGGACAAAAATAAAGATGGAAAAAGAAATGAAGTGAAGACGTAGAGGATTTGCAATTTTAAAGAAAGTAGAGCTCCCTGAGAAGGTAACTGAGTAAGTAACTGAAAAAGTAATAAAGCATCCAAATGGATATCAGAGAAAAAGCATTCCAAGGCACAGGACACAGCAGGTGCAAAAATCCTGAAGAGGAAAGCATACCTAACACATTGAAGGGAAAGTAAAAGCCCATCACTGTTGAACCAGAGTAATCTAAAGGAATGAGTATTCAGATAGCAGAATGATGAGCAAAGAAAATGACAAACCTGGGGAGGGAGATAATTAACTGGATAAAATTATAATATCAAATTTGTGAGGCTAAGAAAAGATAGAACAAAAGTGCTGGGCAAAATGGCATGCATGAAGAGTGGTAAGCAGTTTAAAGTGTTCTACAGGCAAGGAAGGAAAAGAAAGTAATTTTAGATATACATACATATATTAAAGTTTCAAGAGAAAATTCAAGAAAACTTCAAGAGTCTGTGAGAAGGCAAAAAAAAAAGTACTAATTTCACAACTAGTAAAATGGGGAAAACATGAAAAAGAGGGAAGGAAAATGAACAACCCAAAAGACAGCAAGAAAACAGATAGGGAGACAAAACCCAGCAAAAGCAAGATGCTCAAAATGAAGGGGTAGAAATAAATGCAAATATGTCAATAATTCCAACAAAAAAAATGAAATAAACTTCCCAATTAAAATAGCAAGATTAGGGGATATCATTACAGAAACCACAGCATCAAAAAGATAATATGGGAATACTAAGAACAACTCTCCACACATGAATTTGGCAACTTGGTTGAAATGGATCGATTCCTTGAAAAACACAAACCACCAAAACTTACTCAATATGAAACTGATAATTTGAATACCCATCTCTAGCTATTCAGGAAATTTAATTCTTAATCTTAATTTTAAAACTCCAAACAAAAAGAAATTACCACACACCCAGATCATTTTATTGGAGAATTCTACCCAACATTTAAATAAGAATTAACACCAATTCTACATAATTTCTTCTGGAAAATAGAATATGAGAGAAGACTTCCAAATTCATTTTATGACGCTAGTATTATCCTGATACCAAAACCAAACAAAGACAGTTCAAAAAATAAAACTACAAACCAACATCCTTCACGAATACAGATGCTAAAATATTTAAAGTATTAGCAAACAGAATTCAGCAATATATAAAAAGAATTAACACCAAGACCAAACGAAGCGTCTATTCCAGGGATACAAGGTTGGGTCAATGTTTGAAATCAATGAAGTACACTATATTAACAACTAAAAAAGAAAATCACATGATTATGTATACATAATCTTTTATATATACAGCAATGAAGAAAAAAGCATTTGACAAATTCAGTGCCCACTCATGATAAAAATTCTCAGAAAAATAGGAATAGAGGAGAACCTCCTGAACTTGACAGAAAGCACCTACAAAAAAATCTAGAGTTAACATACTTAATGGTGAAAGAATGAATACTTCCCCCTAAGATTGGGAATGAGGCAAGGATGTGCTGGAAGTTCTAGCTAGTGGAATAAGACAACAAAAAGAAAAGACATAGGGGTTGAAAAGAAAAAAATAAAACCGCCTGTATTTGCAGATCCCAAGGAATCTGCAAAACAACTACCAGAACAAATAACTGAGTTCAGCAAGGTGGCAGGATACAAAACCAACACACAAGTACCAATCACATCTCTATATACTAAAAAGAACATGTGAAAACAAGTTAAAAACACAATACTATTTATAATCACTCCTAGGAAAATGAAAATACATATGTTTAAAAATATAACAAAACATATACAGGACTTGTTTGCTGAAAACTACAAACACAAATGAAAGAAGCCTAAAAAGATCTAAATAAATGGATTCTTTGTGGATGGGAAGACTCAACAAAGTAACAATATCAGTTTTCCCTACATTGATACAGATTTAACACAATTCCTACCCAAATCTCACCAAGACTTTTTATGGATATAGATGAGATTATTCTAAAATTTACATGGAAAGGTAAAGGAATGAGAAGAGTTAAAACAATTTTGAAAAAGCATAGAGAGAGAGGAATCTGTCTATCCTATTTCACAACTTAGCTCAGTAATTAAGACTGTATGTAGTATTAGTAGAGGGATAGACATAAAGATCAGTGGAACACAACAGAGAACCCAGAAATAGACCTACACAAATACACCCAAATAGTTTTTGGTGAAGGTGCAAAAGTAACTTAATGAAGGAAAGACAGCCTTTCAACAAATGGTGCTGGAGCAACTGCGCATCCATAGACCAAAAAACGAATTTCCACCTAAGTCTCACATTTTATATAAAAAATAACTCCAAATGGATCACACGCTTAAATGTTAGAATAAAGCTGTAAAACTTAGGGGAAAAAACACAGAAGAAAATATTCAAGATCTAGGGCTAAGCATAGAGTTTGTATACTTGACACTCAGAGCAAGATTCACAAAAGGCATAACAATAATATACTGAACTTCACCAAAATTAAAAACTTGTGCCCTTGCAAGACCCTGCTAAAAGGATGAAAAGACAATCCAACAAAGGACTAGTATCTAGAATATATTTAGAACTCTCAAAACTCAACAGGAAAAAAACAATCCAACTAGAAAAAAGGACAAAAGA